TTACTTTGTATACCTGGAGGTATCTTCTTCCTGCAATGCACACAAGACCGACACTTGCCAACCAGCATTTCTACTGCCAAAGAATCGTCCAGCGTCTCCATTTTATCATCATCAACTTGTGAGAAAACAGTACTTGGTGTTGTGGAGAGCATCTTGTTCTGGTCCACATGTCTCACACTGACGTTCGTAAAGATGTATACTTTACCATCCTCGATTCTCTCAATTTCGTCTTCCCACAATGCGAGAAATAATGTCGTTGTACGGTCATTGATAGTACTCTTCAACATCTTTAGACTCTTCTTTTTAGTTTTCTCAATTGTTTCTCCTTTCTTAATGACGCCTTTAATACGAACCTTCCTGCCAGTTTCTATGTTCTTCTTTATGTCGATTAATGCAACGATCGCTGGTTCTTCGTCAGGAGTGTATTGAAAATTGTACTGTGGCGCTTTTGGCGATGGGATAATGATCATGTCATTGATTTTGTATTCATCTTCTGTACTTTTCCAGCCTTGGGCCGATCAGATAGTTCGAGATCTGCATTGGCATTAAAGTTTTTCTTTCTCTGCCAGAATATCATACATTGCTTTTGAAAAGCATACGACTCCTACCTGTTTGTCTTGCATTTTGAGTTAGAGGTCGCACCATTCAGTTTTTTTACCTTTTTTTAAAGGTGACAGGTTGTGGATGTAGCAAAAAATGGCTGGATTATTTCTTAGCGAAGCCATGAATATCGTCTGATTAAACTGATTCACTGAATCAGCAAGGTAAACTGGCTAATTAGTTCTTTCGAACAACATTTTTGCTTTTCTAGATGACCAAGAGCTACGCGAAGCATGCCTTTTGTTTATCTAACATAGCTCATCAACCCTATTGGTCAATGCAGTAAAGTGTTCTTGATACTGCTTAGCCCACAAATCGTGCTGGCTATATAGCTCTTTTGCTTCGTCAGGATTCAATATCAAGTTTGTCATACACACCACCGACATTGTTCATAGATACTTCCAACGAGGCCCTTGTCTATTGAAGCACACTTAAAACAGCATTTTCTGTTAAGGCTTTCTTAGAGTCTTCTATTTTCTTACTCCATTTTCGCAATATGTCTTATCCAATTCTTTTTCGGCGAATTCTTTGGAGTACAACAATCCCTTTTTCCGTTGGAATTCGGACTCGAACTGTAGGACTTTAAACTCCAGAGCCCTTGTTACAAGACTACCGTCACGGTTCATTGTTGGTCGGAAAATAATTTCGGTTCAGGTAAGGTTTACAGAATTGACAATCGTAGAAATTGTGTTTGTGAATTTATTCTCGAACCACTTGATGGGTTAAGTCGACAGGTAAAAACTAAAGATAAACAACACGAATACATACATAACTAGGAAACTCATGCACAGAATTACGCTAAATTACATAATTACATTATCGTAGCATTAATCGACATAAAAAAGAACATAGAAACTGGCAGGAAGGTTCGTATTAATTAACTATATCCTATGATATTTTTGAATTTTTCCGAAAGATTCAATAAGTCTTTCCGCAGTTCCTCTCTGTGTGCTCGAAAATGAAGTTTCTGCAACAACATTGTATTGTAAAAGAATGACTTTCAGGCTGACAAGAATTCAGGCAGACGAGAATTCCAACAGACTGTATTGATGTGTTTCAACAAAAGGACTTTGAGCTTCTGAACTTTTTGAACGGATTCAAACATCGATTGGTTTTTTCAGGTTTACTGAAAAGGGTGTACATTTTCTCCAGATAGCTGAACAATTAAATAACTTTAATGGCGGTACCAGCAGAGTCCAATAAGACCAAGTTGAGAGTGTGAGCATAGCAATGAATGTATATTACATGACTACCGATTTCATCTCTAAAGATTGCTTGCAGCCTGTTATAACAACCACTCAAATTTGAAGCCCCATCATATGTCTGCACAATTATTTTATCAAAGGTAACACCTCGCGAGACTTTAATGCATCTACAATAGTGTTGTAGAGCCGTTGTGCAGTTGCACCAGTGGCTCTTTCACAACATAACAAATGCTCCGGACAATAACCAACATGATAAACTATTCTGACACAAATGTTAAGCCGTTCATTGTGGCTAATGTCAGGCTTAATGCATCTTGCTGACTTTTTCAAGATGGTCATGGATGGTAAATTGTATGCAGACAAGAACTTCAACACCTCAAAGAGGTTTCCAACGTTTAACACTTTGCTTGCAAGTGATTTCTTGTATATGCCAGCCCTTGCTTTCCAAGGAGGATTATAGTATCTACAACCCACGTCATTATATTCTAATTACTAGTAACTTCCACCTTCCTTCAAGCTGCTTTATCCTGTCCTTGTTGTTCCAAGCGTGAAGTGATGGTTTTCTCTTGCAAGAAAAGCACCTCTGCAACTTTAGCATTTGCACATGGTTTTTCACAATGCTGTGCTGTTTATTCCAGTTGGAAAATCTGGCAAGGGCGAAAGTATTTCCTTGATTTGCATGTGCTAACTTACCATGTGACAATGCATCAGTAAACAGAAGGCAAGGTATACAAAATAGGCTATCTGTGCTCAATGAATAGGAAATCCATTTTTGTCTTGTGTCATCATCATGAAAAAATACTTGCTGTGAACAGTGCCTGCAATGCTCTCAATATCTGCTGATTTGGCTGGCAAGGCTCCTTTTTTATTAATTTCTATTTCTCTTCTGTGCTTACGTTTAAGCCAACAAGTGATGCAGGATCAAATGTTCCACTGATTTCAAAAACGATATTTCTACAGTTTTGTGTTTGGAGCTGCTGCCTTACAAAGTATAATATGATTATGAAATATGGCAAATTTTAAAATGTTGTAAGGACAGAGCACTCACTATAACATGCAATTGTTACATTTCTATCATCAAACCGAATTACAACTCAAAATTATTATAAATGAATTAGTTTGTAAGTATTTAATAATTCATATTGCAAAGCTTTCGGTCCGTTAACTCTGGCCTTTATCAGTGCAACTACAAAATACTTCATACTTAAATAGTGTAAGTTGTAGTAGCTCTGGTCTCGGATATTGTTTCACCTTGGTTGCAGACAGAAAAAGAGTCATTCAAATTCGCTAATGTTTTTGCAGTTCCAAATAATAAAAGAGATTCAGTCTTTCTTTTCTTTAGGTTAATTATCAATTCATTTTCATCCAGCCAATCAGCAACAGCATCAATATCCTTATTGAGTTTTGTTTGGATAGTGTTTTAAGTCCTTGTAATCAACATATACAACCGTATCGTCTGCATATTTATTGATTTTTGAATTTTCTAACAAATCCGTAATATCATTAAAGTAGATAATAAATAAGAGGGGACCAATTGTAGAACCTTGCTGTACACCTGTTAAGATTTCTTAACTTTCAGACAAACGTCCACCGTAACTCACAGCTCCCGAGTGATTAAACAAACAGTCCTTAAACCATTCAAGTTCGTGTCCCCAAATACCGTATCGAGGAAGTTTGTCAAGAAGTTTGGAGTGAGTCCAGAGGCAGATCCAGACTGATGCTACCGATGCTAAAGCATCAGTCAAAATTTTGAAAATTTAAGTAAATTGCTAATAATATGTGAAATGTTTTGTAATACTCACTGTAAACTCTCAATCCAAAATCCAGACAACAAGCTTGAACTCGTAGATTTTCGTGTATTTGAAACGGTTCAACTACATAAGTTCATAAAACATTACATATTTACATAAGCTAACTACATTAAATAATCAACAACAAGGTTGGTAAAAGGTTAAAATAAAGTAGACTTACAGTTATAGTTACTGTCCGGTAGAAATTTGAGTGTTCTATATACCCTCTTAATTAACTTATTCAGTAACAGCAACGGCATTTTGGATCATGGGGGGTGTATGCACCAAATGTTTATTTTAAGTTTATAATTGTATATAATAAACACTCACTAGAGGACTTTGAAAAAGTATAATGTTTTCGCCTACATATCGCCGGCGATATCATATGATTACATAAGGCGTTGCGTTAAAAATCAATCCAAGATGGCATCATCATTTCTGAATAAAGTAATTCTGTCTTATATTGAGCTGAACAGCTATGTAGAATATATAGCCTGAGTTTTCTTGACTATTTAGATCGGTTTTCGCTTGTTATAATAAAATGCAAAAATGCTTGTGTTTGTTACAAAAAATATTTTCGATATATTCGACAAACTAGGACAGAAATCAAATTACCGTCTGAATTTTCCACTTCTTCCTCTGAGGTTTCGTCCAGCAACTTCAGGAGTTTTTTAAATTGGTCACAAAGCTTAGCGTTGGTCGACGACCTTGCCATTTTAATGGTCTTTCTACTTATTTCCAAGAAGTTTTCTTTAAAGCTGTCGACAACATTCAAATTGACGGAAAGGATCCTCTCAAATTCAGCTATGATCTAGAATGATGTGAACACAGTAAAATATCAGATTTAAAGCGATATAAGAATATCACATGGATTGAGTGGGTGTGTGTACGTAAGATTAGAGTTATATCAACCTAAGTCCTAATCCCATAACCCTATTTATTTTCTAACCTAATCCCAAAGATTAAATTAGTGCATGTTGGGTTGAATAAACATGGCATTACCTTTAATAATGTGATCCTATCAAATATTAGGATATAAGGCTATGTACAGTACAGATAGCTGTACCTATTTATGTCTGAATACATACCTCTTCATATGTAAAGAGGGCAGGATATTGTTCCTTGATTTTGGCCAAAGGCTTCTTGTCAAGGATCAGTTTCCTTCTTTGCGGGAAGGTCACGGCCATTCTCGATTTTATCTTTGCCATATCACGATTCCTTTTCTTCCATTCGGTCGTCATAAAAGTTTGATGAGATTTCATGGAAACCTCATCTTCTCCTTCTGAAAAAGGTTTCTGCCAGTTGACTCCACCTCTTTTTAGAGTTTTTTAATCTTCTTTTTCTGGTGCCATCAGAGGTTTTTCGTTTTTTCTGGAGGACTTCCGCGTCTGTGGCGTACTTTCTCTCATTTCGAAACTTCTCGTAAATCTGCGAGTACCATGAATCCTGTAAACATATACACATAGCAATCTATAAGTTTATATTGTTATATAGGTGCTGTGTATTTTAAATGTGATTGGTTCATTCGTAGTCACATGAAAAATGTTAATGTCTAAATGCTGTTGCACTCCATAAACATACTTATGTGACCAGATCCAACTGACTTATCCTTTAGGAATGGATATTCCCTCACAATTTGGAGGCAAATTTGTGTTAGTTGATCTCTTGTTGGATATCTAGAATAAGAGGCAAAAGAAATCATTGCAAATATATGTACCATGCATTTCATTAAATCTTAAGTTATATATTAAGTTAATGAACTTGAAATTAAGATGTGGAATGATTAACCCCAAGTAGCAAACTCAGACTCTCCATGATTATACACATAGATCAGTTAAACTAGGATATATGTAAATGCAATGTATACTTGCAATATATACATGCAAACTCATTGGGTTAACTAGACCCATAATTAGGCAAATATAGTGAAGCGTTCTTCCTTTGATCAGATGGCCTGACTGGTGTTTGTTTCATAGAGTGCAGTATTGCATTATGACAAAATGCAACTCAGTGATGGTAAGGTAAATCACAGTATTTTTGAATTCTGCTATTTGAATAATCACCATCTACTATATTTCTAACTGTAAATACTGTAAATTGTAGTATATACTTACAGAGTATACACAGAAAAGTGCTCATATATCCTCATGACAAATGCCCTCCTCAGCTTTCCCACGCACACTTTTGGATCTTTTGCTGCAAGTGCCCTTGCCAGCTCTGGGCGGAAATTTTGTGGCAAGGATACCTTTCCAGGCCATAATTTCTTTGCATTACAAGGTACATCACTTGGACTGCTAACAGCTGTAGGCTTTCTAAAACAATATACCAAATTGCATGAGGTACATAAGTTAACTTTATACATTTACATATATACTCATTTCCTGCATAGCCATTGGTGACATTATCTCATATACCAACTTTTTGCCTTTACCATGTCACTTCCACTGCCCATATAATAACAAAGGACAGAATAGTTTCCACGGGCAAATTGGCACATTGGGAAACCAGAAACCTGAAAGGAAAGCCTTCAATTCCTAGACATCAGTATTACAATGTATATAGTATCTATAAAAATTCTTTGTCTATATTCTCTTTATCCTAACATTCCAATCAACTTTTTAATCTGTTCTTTTTAGGTTAAAAAAATGCTATGTAAGATTAATGTACTATGTGTTTTTTAAATGTTTTGGAATAGCCTATTTAAGTGTGCGATGTTTTAAGATACCAACTTATAAATACACCAACGTATAAACATGCATGTTTATGCATGGTTTATAAAATGTGCTGTACACTATTCTGTTAAATTTCTAAAATTGTCAACAATAGACATCAATTCTGCAGAGGTACACCTTTCTGCAAATTGGTTAAGGCAGGGTTTGGCAATTTCCTTAAATTGGCCTAAATTTACAAAAATGATAACATTTTCCAATAACTATTCCCAGTGAAAAGACATCACTCTTGATGGATTGAGGTTGTGATCCATTAACAACTTCTGGAGCAATGTGACAATGTTCCTTTTTGTATTGACATTGTTCTTCTTTTTTGTGTTGACATTGTTCTTCTTTTGATAGTTTTTTAGTTTTTGCCTCATCCATAAGGCATGCCTTTCCAAGATCTATCAAAATTGGGGAATAAAACCCAGCATTTTTCGTCACTATAATATTGTCACTTTTCACATCGTTGTGTAGAATTTTTTTCTGATGCAAATGAAAGAGAGCATCAACAAGCTGATAAATGACATGAAGCCACTATTCCAAGTCTAAAGAATCTTTAACAGAGCTGTCAGCAAAAATATCGTTTAGAGTATGTGAACCAGTTGACGAATCTTTGCACTCATAAAACTGTGTTGCTATGAAATACGGCAATTTAGTGTTATTCATTCTATAAATCATTGGAAGATTCATGTGACAGCATTGTTGTAAGTAGTGGGCTTCTTTTTCAACCATGCTTGCTGTGGTTGATGATCCAAAGTACTTAACTGCAACTGGCGTAGAACTAAACTTTCTCAGGACAACAGAACCGAATCTTCCTTTACCTAAAATACCTTGCTCTTGGCCGTCAATCTCCTCTAAGTATGCTAGGTCTTAATAATCCACTCTTCAATTTTTAGAATCAGTTCTATTAAACGAGATTTTTTTTTAAAAGCACAGAATGCATACTTCATGTATCTGCCCTTTAATGAGTGGCTTGAATTTACAGTTCATGCCACTCAAAAGAGGTGCTGGTAAAAGGTGGCAAGAGTCACCTTACACAACAACAGTAAACTGCATCAACATAAATGTATACAATTCTTGAATGAATACAAAGCAGTTCTCACTGACAGGTGGCTCTGAAAGTGCCACCTGAATGAGCTATTGGTCAAAGGTGCTGTTGGGCAACCTTACACAAAAATCTGTAAAACAGCACTGCCAAGTGCACAATTCAAGAATACCTGTACTGTTGTCTTAATGAAATAAATTTAATGTTTTCAAAACCTTAGTGAAAAACTTTGATTCCAATAAAAAATTAGTTGATGCTAATTATTGGTCCTACAGTATTATGTATGGCAAATGAAGACAAAGCAGTTTTCACTGACAAACAGCACTAAAAGTGTAACCTAAATCAGCTATTGGTCAAAGGTATATAGCATGCACATAGCAATAATATAAATAATCTTTTATGAATTGGTGTTTTGAAAACTAGTTAGTTACTATTATTATATAGTGCTCCAAATATTTACTTATATTTGGACAAGCAAACTGGTTACAAATCTTTTTTTTTTTAATAGACGCACCCATTAAATCTTTGCTTAGACACTATTACCATTACCAGTTTGTCACATATGAAAATTAAAGTTATGCTAACCTTGCATTTTCAGGTGTCACTGGTGGATTCTTGTGATAGGCAGAGCTAGTTGATGCACCTTCATCCAGATCACAATTTTCATTTTCAACCAATACTACATTCTTTCTTTTAACCTCTTCATTCAACTTGAGAAATTTAATTCTCACACCAATTATTGGAATGAGTAATTCCAAAGTTCTTTCAGTTAAGCTTTGTAGGGCTTCCCCATCTATCATATTATCTAAAAATTACAAAGTCGGTTTGCCTTACTGTTCTTCACTCTTCAGAAAAATTTTACTAGCGAGAGTTGATCAATTTGTTTTTATAAAGTAAACAAACAGTATATAAGCTCCTTAAGTTTCATAAGCATAATAGCCTTTTATAGGGAGCGAAAATAAGCCAAGGCTCGAGAGTAAATTCTCGTATAAACAGCTTCGCGAAGAAATTTCACATAAAACAATGGTGTCCTGTTCAGCCGTTTACAATGTCTCTAATCTAAATGGTCTAAGTCACCTATAAAAGTGACGGTTTTTCAGGAATTCTCACCTATGTAGACATATATACCATCTTATATATAAAATATACATTGATTAGACATTTAAACTTTGGATTCGACAGCAAGAGTAAATTACAACGTCTGTATGCAAAGTATTTGCACGCCACAACACCTGTTAACAACAAATTCAAAAATCAATAGCATACCTTTAAACGTCTGGCAATACTTGTCGAAGCCAACTTCAATTAACCATGACTGAACATCCTCCACTGTCAACATTTTTTATTAATTCAGCAGAATTAAAAAAGCAAAGAAATATTTCGATATACTGAGACACAAAGACAAGCTGTAAGCGCACGTTGAAGGTAGGGTGATTTGAAAATGACAATGAAATTGGAGTCATTTGACCCGTCGCGCCAAAGGAAAACGCAGATACATGATTGGCTCATTATAATTGTATCCGTCTGCTTGAAACACAAACACATGATTGGCTTGCTCAGTATAATTACATCCGTCCGCAGTGCCTGACATTTACGTCAGACTGCATTAACAGGTGCGCTGTTACTTAAAAATGATATAATTACTCCGGCGTCAGCGACAGAGTTGAAAATTCGCCTCGTTTTTTTTTTATTTATTTTTTTTTTTCATTTTTCGTCGTCGCAAGTCTGTTATGGCGCAAAATATACTAGTATTAAAAATGTATATGACCGTATTTATCTACGTCCTAGTCTTGTCTCCCAAGAGTTGTGGTGCACAGCTCGAAATCTCTGAGTAATTTACTTATGCGCGAATCGATTTCGCTCGCATGATATGGCAATTCCTCCAAGAGAAACAAATAAACCGTGTGTTTCATGCTGTTTGATTAAGTTCTGATTGAATTTGGGTAAGAATATATTTAATACATGTAGATTCTGGTCCTATTTTAATAATATCGCTGCTATTTCGCCGTTTAACAAGATGATGTGACCGTGTATGGGTGCGTTGACACGTTGTAGTTTGCACAGGATTGAAGATTTAAATTATATAACTATATAAGCGCGAATTCCAAAAGCAAAGTGTAAGACAAAGCGAATATATCATGTGGTTTATTTACATTTTTGAACAATTGAACTTCTATACTTTTTAAAGTACGATGTCCTTTTAAATTTCGCGATCGAACATTTAGGTTCGCAAGGCATCTATAAATGTGAATATGAACTGTATTGTTTATGTTCAGAAACTCTATATTCAGTATATTGAAGACTGGCACATGCGCCGGAGTTAACGCCAGAACAGGCGTCTTGTTTAAATAACGGTTACCATTCATACACTGTGAGTGTTGAAATTTTATGCCTAAATAACATGGATGTAAGATCTTAACTAGGATGACATGTTCCTTTTAAATATTTATGTTAGCTAGAACTTCAACCATTTTGAGTATGTTTAATTGCCGCCGAAAGCAACGCGACAAGTTTTAAAAAACTTTTGCGTCATATCAAGTTTGTTCATAGTTGTGAACCAAACTTTGCCATATCATGTGGACATTGCCAAGAAACCTTTAAGAAATACGAGTCCTTCAAATCACATCTAAGACGAAGACACAATGATGCTTTTACAAACATCGACAACCATACAGACGAACTAGTCAATTTGAAAAATGTCGGCCAAGACGATCCAGCACATGAGAACGGTGGTGAACATGAAGACCTAGAGCAAAATGGCCAAGAGCAAGAAAACGGAGAAGAGTCGGTTCACAGTGTGACCAAATTTATTCCTCTTTTTATGCTGAAAACAAAAGAGGAAAATCAGCTAACGCAGCAGGTGTTGGATTCGATTATGGACAACACCGAAACTCTCGTGGAACAAAGCCTGGAAGCTTTAAAAAGCGATGTCAAATTGTGTTTGGTTGCCAATGAAATAGACCTGTCAAACATTGATGGTATAAATGACATATTCGAAAAACCAAGTTTGTTTTCAAGAGCAAGAGAACCAGTGGCTACTGAATATTTACAAGTGAAGTATTTTGTTCAGAATTTCAAATTTGTTGTAAGTATTTTCGAATTTATTATACTTATTAAAGTAATAGTTTATAAGATTCGCTTGCTCATAATATATTTTTGAATTAATGATGTAAAACGTTTTGAAATGGATAAAATGAATTTGCAGTGAACTGTAGCACTCTTGCACTTGCAGTACACTTTTTGGTTAATTGAGCACAGAATTGTTGCCTTTGTGTCCGGCCTGAAAGTGTGTGTGCTAAACTTTACAATTTTATTAATTTTAGTATCCTTTCTTCAGCAAAACAAAAATTTAATACAATTTGTCATTATACGAATGTCTGAGTAGTATTAGAATTATAGTTGAAATTCTATATAGACTGAGGAATACTGTCTCTTTTATACTCCATTTCATACTTTTGCAGGAGCCAGAAACAATTTTGCTTAGTCAGTGAAGTGAATATCGGATGATTAACGGGAAAAATAAACTGCGTGTTGTCAAAGGAACTTATCAATACATCCCTTTATTAAAGACACTCGATGCTTTGCTGAACCAACCGGATATCCTGACAGAGGTAAGCAGTATTTGGTACGAGGAGAGTAAAGGGAAAGTGGAAATAAACCAAAAGATCAATATACTGACTATATTACTTTTCTTGAAACTCACTATAATTTGTACAGGGACCAGGCGTTCAAAGTTAGATGAGCGGGTTAAATTTAATGCGATGCTGTTAGTATAAAAATTTTACAAAATAAGACTTTTATTGATCCAGAAAATACTCAAAAGTCAATGAAAATGGAAAAATTCAATGACATATTAGCCTACTGCTTCATGATATAGGTTTATTATCCACACACCAGTACAGATGGCACACTTAAAGACTTTTGTGATGGCGAAGCCTTTAAGGAACATCCTTTGTTTCAACAGTCTGGATTGGTTTTGTATCTTCATACATATTATGACAATTTTGAAGTCACAAATCCCCTTGGCTCCAAAACAAAGAAACACAAAATAGGTAATTGAGCTTTTTAAGTATCCCCTATTGAAATTATAATCGATCATGACGTCATGCAAGATGATTGACAAATGGTAGCAATCTAGAATCCACGAATTAGCTTTATATTTAATCCCATTCCCTTACCCAACTCTTAATAAATCTGTTATAAATTGGCCCTAAATGATCAGATTAAGAATTTATTAGAATTAAATTAAGTGAATTTTGACCTGACCAAGAGCTCTTTGCTCAGAACCGTAAAAGCCCCCTAAAAAATTCACATATCTCACATTCACACAATTTTTTTAACGCTTCAAGGTGCATTTTACTTTACGGTTGGCAATGTTAGACCACGTTACCGTTCAGCTATTAATGCTATTCAGTTCTTTATATTATGCAAAGTGGAATTGATCAAGAAATATGGACAAAATCTTGGTCCCTTTTATGCGAGACATTAATATTCTTGAATCGGTAAGAGTCAAACAAGTGAATGAAGTGTTTAATACTCGATCTTCTTACAGCATATTGCAAATACTTATATATATTTTACTGCTTGAAAGCAATTTAGCATCCATATTTCTCCAAATTGTGTATAACTGCCTCATTCTCCAGGATGATGGGGTAGCTATAAAGATTGATGGTGCTGACAAGATGTTTAGAGGAAGTATTGGTCCATTCTCCACCAATAATCTTGGAGCACATTGGTGGATATATTGAAACTTTTACCTCATTAAGAATATCCAGGGTGTGTATGGCTACAAATGACGAAATTCAGCATCAGGTAATGTTTCAATCACAAAACAAGTTGCTGCTTAATTGCATCATAGGTTAGAGCCTCAGATAAAGCTTTAAACTTGCTATATGGTGCACAGAAAAATGTATTTTTAATTTCTTGGCTGTAATTGGATTTCATACTACGTATAATTATATCATTTAGGGTACATTTGTAGGCATTGATTTAGGTGTTGAAATAGAGTGATGTAAGTAATTTAAGTAATGTTACGCTTTTTAGTTTAGGGAAGACTGTTTCCAACTTCGAACACAAGAAATGCATAACAGACACTGTGAATTGGTAGAAGAAGACCCAACAATGAGTTCTGTTTACGGTGTTAAGCGATCATCAATCCTTAACCAGTCTCGATATTTTCATGTGATTGAGGGTCTGGACTTGGATATTATGCATGATCAACTTGAAGGCGTTTTACCTCTGGAAGTCAAGATGCTCATTAGAAAGGTTGCTCAAGATTGCAAACCGATTTCCTTGGAAGAGATAAATGAGAGAATTGCAACACTCAACTATGGGCCAATTGACCAAAAAAACAAACCAAGTCCATTGAAGCAACAAATTTTCTCTGCTGATGCTGCATCAATATCACAAACAGGTACTGCCTACATTGGCGTGTTTCCATGTTCACAGGCAAATTGACACAGCGTAAGTTTTAAATATAAATTTGAGGTAAAATGCTGAAGCATTAACTATCAAGGAACAATTATTGCTTTGCTTGTCATTTTTAAATCTAGAGCTATTTTTCCCTCAAACCATCTGGAAGACAACTTAATTCTCAAACATTTGAAACTATCTTGACATAATTTTGCTTTTTTATTAACAGCTTCTAAATTTTGTTCCTTTCTCGAATGCTGCCTTTAATATCAGGAGATGTTATATCTGAAGATCTGACTGACAACTGGGAAAACTTTCTCTGTTTGCTGAAAATTGAGAAGATAGTGTTAGCCCCATCATGTAGTACAGAATTGGCAGCATATCTAGCTGTGTTGGTTAAAGAGTACTTGGAACAGTTCACTTACCTTTATGATCGAAGACTTATTCCAAAACAAGATTATATGGTTCATTATTCTCGCCATATAGTTAGGTAAATTACCATAATTCTTATTACTGCAAACTGACCATAACAAGCCTTAATGACTGCATGAAAAAGTGAAATAAAAATAATTTTATAATTGAATATATTTCAGAAGAGGACCTTTGGTTCAAAATTGGTCCATGAGATTTGAAGCAAAGCACAATTACTTCAAAAGGCTGGTAGATAAAATCAATAATTTCAAGAATATTGATTGTTCACTTGCTAGAAGACACCAAGCTCTTCAAGCTTACTTGTTACAGAGAGGAGGATTCTACAAAGTTTCTATTGAACAAGGACCAGGTGTGAATCTATACACTCTTTTAAAAACCACACATAACTACCCTTTGCTTATAGTGGAATCATGCATACCAGACCATGCTTGCAGAATTTGTGAGAAGCATCAGTTTTCATTTTTCTCCTTTTTATTGTGCCTGTAAAATGTTTTT